CTTCGACGATGGTCGGAGCGTCGGCGGCATGATTTGCCAACACTGAGCCAACTCCCTCCAGGATCTGCTTGCGTTCTTTGGCCTTGAACACATGACAAACTCCGGTGTGGTCATCTTCTTCCTGACTCGAGTCCTCACAAAAGGGTTCGACTCGCATCACATCCACTTCTGGTGTCGACAGGGTGGTCCTCTTATCAAGATCAAGGAGATTGATCTGATAGGAATTGTCCTTCATCTCATGGATTGGCGCTGCAACTCCAGCCTTGGTCATCACCAGCTTGTTGTCGTTCAAATCAATCATCGCCCCTAGGCTCTTCAGCAATCGTTTCGAGATCAGCAGCGGCACTTCTCTGGGAACCACGTGGAGGCGCACTCTGAGCTCCTTGCCCCCAACAAAGACCGGGATTTCCACTCGCCTTCCAGTCTTGTCGGCTGAGCCATTGCCGTACCTAAAGGTGTGCATCTTCTCTGGCAGTTCGGTGATGTCATATCCTTTGGCGTTCAGCAGCTTGACATGCCTGTCCAACGTGTTGGCCCCGATGAGGCCTCTGCCGCATCCCGTGTCCAAGATGCCATATCCAGCTTCATGAACTAAAGCACAATGACTCTCTTGGGGTTGTGATTCATCACCGTCTTCATCATCACTACTGCCAGGTTCTTTGAACGTCTCCGCTTCTTCTTGCTCCGGATCATCCCACATGGCTGACTCGGCAAAGAAAGCGTCCGTGATCTCGTCAATTTCCTGCTCAATGTCTCCGACCTGGAAGGCATACTCTCTGCCGAAGATCTCTTGATCCAGCTCTTCTTGCGGGTCACTGAGGCGGAACAGTTTCTCGTCATTGAATTTGGACCAATCTTCTGATTCCTCATGCTCTTGGCCTTCGGCTTGAAGGACATGTTCATCTCCAAGTGTCTCATTATCCAGCCCATCTTCGATGTCATCCTGCTTGAACCGGGGTTTTCCATCCTGTTGTGTCTCATCGTCCAATGCTCCATGTTCCTGCAGACGGTAGAAAATTGTCCTCCCCGTCCACGGTGTCGGAGTCTTCCGATGAGCCTCAAGGCTGTTCTTCCAATTCGGAGTGAATTGCTCTTCCACCGTGCCGTCCTTGTACTTCATCTCTGTCATTCGAGCCATGCTCAACTGGCCAATGGGCACTGGGCAACCTGTTCGAGCCGGGCTGAACAACGAAGAGCGGGGGTTCACATGATGTCTCACCACTTCCTTCTCCGTCACTGTCCAGCTGTCCTTGGGTCGATCTGCCCAGCTTCTCATCACCTCAGCAATCTGGTCATCTTCACTGATCTCGGTGGTGTCACCGACCATGTAGACCAGACTGACTCTGGTTGAGCCACTGCTTGTGTCACCTTTGCCACTCGCCTTGCCCTTGCGTTGCGGACAATTGCGAGAGAAGTGTCCGACTTTCTGACACTTGTAGCACTTCACCCGGGCTTCCAGCTTCTTGAGTCCTCCTGAGTTCAGCCCGCGGGATAGTTTTTCTTTGTTGATGCTCTGTCGTGTCTGCTTCCATGTCAGCAGAACATCGATGGCATCTTGTTCTTCAATTGGGTCATCATCCCCAACCTGGCCCTCATCGTCCTCAGCAAGGAAAACATCACCAACGTCACCCACGTCAGATTCTTCTTGCAGAGGTTCAACTGTGGCGACATGACTTCCAGAACGACCGGAATACAGGCCTTCAGGATACGTCGTCCTGAGAGCTGCAGCGATGTCTTGTTCTTCATAAGATTGTCTTGCCGCAGCCATGACAACGGCCTTCTTGTCTTGAGGTAGCTTGGCGAATCGCAGCAGCAGGTATCCTCTAGCCACTGACGGCAGGCGGACACCTTCAGCCTCTGCAGCGGAGAATGCTGCTCTTGCCTTGCCAGTGTAACCTGACGTAGATTCACCCTTTTCCACCTTCAAGTCAAAGATCTTATCCAGCACTTCTCCCAGGCGGTCGTGAACAGCCTCCTCCGGAAACCGTTCGTCCAACACCTGGTAAACAAGGTCTTGACCCCCTGACTGCTCCAAATCATCCATATTGACTGCATCGAAGGCACGAAGTGCAGTTCCATCCAGCATTGTAAACAGCATTGCTCCAAAAACATTTTCATCAGTTCCTTTTGCACGCTGTACAGCCAAATATGCACGTGACCAACGTTTCCACAGCTTATAGTCCTTCTGAGGGTCTTGTCCATCTCCATTGAAGCGACGGATGGCCGATTCATTTCTGGCCTGTTCTGACATGTCTCCTTTATCCCAAGCGGGCCCCGTAGGGCTCCGCTACCAGTTTGAACTGGCAGCCCCAACACAAGCAACTGGTGTCAATCCTTTGACTTCCAACAACAATGCTCAACGAACGAAATCCACTCGATCAAATGCGCAGCTTTTCCAGGCTCATGCCAAGTCGCACCAACCACGCGCCGCCTGGCGCATTGGAGCTACTGACCTTTGAACCGAAGCAACGGTACATGAATGCACCTCAGGCCAATGGCTGGTTTCACAGGCAGACATATTGAACATGTGGTGACTTCTGAACTTCCTCGCCTTTCGGTCAATCCTGAGTGGACGGCATGGCCGTTGATCTTTCATTTTGAGTGGGCTTACTGGTCTCTGCCTCTGTACTTTGCTGGAGCTGGCCGGCAAGTCTAACAAACAGTTCACCCTTCATTGCCCTCTCTGCAAGACAAGAAACTGCAAAGTGGCAAACATGGTGTGCCGAACAACTCGACCCTTCAAGGAAACAAGTCCGACCCCTCAAGGATTGACCTTTCAACATCCATCACTCTCCACCACCAAATCATCCAAATGGGACTCATTACCCCAGTCATGCACTCGACTCCATCCCCTCCGCAGGGGGGTCTGGCTTTACCGCCGGCGTCCGCGTGAAACGGACGCTGCTCCTTCTTGTCCAAACCGGTGAGGCCACCGTACATTCGCTCGTTGAGGCGCCAGGACTTGTTGGTGGGCACGTAGAGCTGATCAGCTGCCTCCAAGGCCAGGTTGCAGGTCCTGCGATTTTTGGTTTGGACCAGCGCGCGCGCCTATTGGCGTGCGCTTTGGGGTGAGAAATTGGCCTGACATACATGCAGTGGTCACAGGGCCAACGAATCACAAGCATTTTTCACAAACACCACTGGCAGCAATCAAACATTCCTTCAACCAAACTCCCTAACAAGCAGCAAGCACAAGCAATATTTGTTGGGGCGTACTTGATGGCTCGCTTCAGGTAGGAGGTGAAGGCCACATCGATCTTCAAGCCCTCCTTAGATGGGCCATGCTACCCAGCCTATCCCACATGCGCACCGCCACCTGTCAACACGGAACGAATGTGATTTCAGCCAACATGATCGTCCGTCGTCAACCCACGGTGGGAGAAGCGACATCTTCTTTGAGGTGGGTTGGAACGTGGGAATGCACCCGGAAGCCACGTTCCAATTCCACAAAAAAGTGGATGTTGATTCCAGAAAGTCTGAGAGTCTGAACATTTTACAGTAAGTGGAATCCACCTTGAATTCCACATCAAAAACGGCCCAGATTCTCCGAGATGGGTTTTGCTTGGATATACATCCACACCATCTCTAAGTCTAATTACCCCAACCTCTCCTCCCATGTCTTTCTCAGCTCGCCACACCGAGCGTCAGCCTTCAATAGCTCACCAGCACCCTTGGCCTCACCCAGGCCCTTCTCGGACAAATCCACGTCCACCCAACCAGTGAAAATGTTGGCCACGTTCCACTCGGACTCGCCGTGGCGGGAGAACACCAAGGTGGCCTGAAAGTTCTCACCAGGGTAGGCTGCAGGAGACACGGCGCCGATGTGCGGACCATTCAATTGATCTATTTATATAATGTTGTCATAGCCCCTCTTGGCCAAGAAGGGGATTTCCGATTCCCATTCAAACAATGGCATGGTGCATCGCTCTTCTCCACCAGCAACCGCTTTTTGTCGCAGGTCAAATCCGTTGGAACGCCTCTGACGCGGCCTGGTCCGCACACGACGCGGCCCGGTTGGTCGTTTTGGCCCGGCCTTTTTGGACATGGCGCAAAAGCGGCGAATCGTGGCAAAACGGGGCGTGGCGTCGGTTCTTGGGGCGGTCGCTGTTCAGCCAGCGAGGTGCGAGGGTAGGAGAACAAGCGGCGAGATGGGTCAGCAAATGTCAGGATGGTCAAATCCTTTTAAGTCACCTTTGAGGTTCGAGAAGTTCCTGGCGTGCGGCGTGAGGGTTTAAACACCAAAGGAGGATTACACACACCTCAATTTCTTAAAGAGTCATCACTAGTGTGAACTGATGTGAACTGCAGAGTCAGCACCCCTAGCCTATCTGCCCCTACGCCATCGAAATGGACATGCTCAGCAGTCAGCAGCCCTTTTCCTCCGAAGTTGGGTCTGCCTCCCGCCACGCGACGGGGCGAAAACCTCGGGTCACAGGCACGAGCGTTCCTCGCCCCGGTGCATACCCCTGCATGTATGAGATAACAAATGACGACAATTCTATATATATATATATATGCAATTCTTTAGGATTTTGATGCTTACTGCAAAACCAAAAGCCTTTTGTTTGCAGCTTGCTGCTAGCAGTCGATGCACAAAGTTTTAGCACCATATCATATATACAGGGAGGCACTGTGCAGGAGCGGCATTTGGATCGCGTCTGGAATTGGAATGTGCGTCTGCCCAAACAACAGCTTAATGATTCAATGACTCCTTCCAAGTTCTAAGTCCAATATCTGTTCAGTGCTGAGGCTTTGAGGCTGAGGCCAGATTTCCGTCACCGAAGTTGGAGCCTGCTTAGCAACGGCACCTCGAGGTGCTTTTGGATGCAGGAACCTGTATTCATATCAATTAAAAACAATCAAATGATACGAACCAAATCGAACAAACCCATTGGCACTGACAATTCCAGTGAGTCTCAATCCAGCATAGCTCGCTACAAGTATGCCACAGCCAAGTGATGTCTGAGACGTCTGATTCTCACACCCCGGTCCCTCCAGCCTTAGCCACTCTTCTTCACACTCACGATCAACGGTCCCACCTTGGACACCCACACGGTAGGGCCAGGGATGGCACGAAAGGACCAAGCTGACGTGTTCAGTTTGAGGTCTAGTGGGGGGTGATGATCGGTGGAGACCGGCAAAGGTGCTCCAAAGGCTCCAAAGCAAGGAGCGACCCAAGGAGCCATAGATGGCTCCTTGACCCCTGGTCTTTAGAATGCGACCTGTGCTTCATTTCTCCCCCATGCAGTCATGCAGTCATGCGCCCTGCAAGTAAATCAGCTTTGTAGGTCTGGGATTGCCGGCATTGTCTCCCGTCTCGTCATTGTGCTTGGCATGCGCGCCATCCTTAGGCTTTGGACCATGCTTTCAGTTTGCTTTATAAAGTGAGAGTGATCAAAAAGCACAAGTCGGCCTAAAAACAGTTGAATACAGAACGTTGAACACACCATGACACATATTGCTCAAATTTCACACCATTAACTTTAGTCCTGAATGAGTTTGACATGAACACACCCAAAAGCAAGTGTAACCAGCCGCCGGGCCTGATGAAACCAATGGGTATTAATCTCACATCAACAACCCTTGGAACGGATGTCAAAATCAAACGGTTTTTTAGATGTTTAAGGAAAAAACTACCGGAAAGCCACAACAATGGTTTTTAGCCCCAAAACTATGGCATCTATGGGTTTCCTGTGGGTTTTCCCGTTTTCCCTTCAACCGATTCTGAGAGGAAAATGCTCCCACACGAAATCATATGTCCTATGGCGTGATATGGCCATACAAACTTTAAGGGTCTGCGGGCCTCCACCCCTCCATCGCTTGCTCCCTGAACCGTTCAGAATCGAAGCGATTGACATGCGATACGGAGCCCAGAATCGCAGAGTGGGAATGTGCCGGAAAGCCAGCATCGGCAATAGACCTTCTTGGCGCCCGCCTCCAGGTCCTATTGAGGATTTGCGCCAAACGCGGGGGGAGGTGATCCGGTGGTGAGTGATAGGCTTTCATGCATGCCACTGACCCACTGACCGCGGTGCACAAGGGGTCTCTCTAATTCGGTCTGATCGCAACTTCTGCGGCTCTCCTCCTTCGTCACCACCTTGGGCCTCGGCACGCACTCCAGTCCATGGCCCAGTCCCCCCGTCACGAAAAAGCAAGCCATATCCTCCAACAGTGGCCGAGTCAGTCAGGTGTAATTTCATGCAACTTCCGTTGAAAGGGTCCAAACTAGCGAGAAATCACCCTGGCCTTTGTCGAAACATCTTGGCACAAGGAGAGCGTGTTCCCTCGTTTTCCTGTCTTTCCTATTGTTTTTCTGTTGGCATTGAGGATGACACGCAACGACTCGAGGCTTCAGAGTTGATTGTGCCTTCGAGGCTACAGAGTTCTCTTTTTGAACTGTGTAACAGGGTTTTAACGAAGTTCACCCCATGAACTGTACACTGGGGTGCCAAAAGTTGCGCTTCTTGACTTCTAAAACATCACAAACCCTTTCCCGAAAGAATCCTACGTGCAACATGTCGACACCTAAGTTGCGGCCAGATTTCCACACCTGAACGCCTTATAAGTATTATAAATTTAAACGGGTGTGGAAATCTGACCGTGCTGTACCTGCCAGGCACAATGGACGTGTCAATCCGATCCGCTGTAGACCGCAAGTGTCATGTTGGAACAGAGTAAGAAGCGTAAACTTTAGGGTTCTTGAAGTATGGTCGCTCCCTGCTAGCACGATCCCTTCTCTACTGGGGGTTTGCCAAGGAGATCAAAACGTAGGCAAATGCAACAAAAGAAATTCAGATGGATTAAATTGGATTGTCATTGATTGATGGAGGTGATCGCCGGTTTCAGAATGGAAAACTCAGTTCTCCCCACCGAATGTCAACAAATCCAGGCCATGGATCTTCACTGGCCATGATGATTTTTAAAAATTGTGACCGTCACTGCCTGGGGGTGCAATCTAAGCTCTATACAATCTACAGTAACGACGAATTATAACCCACTTGCCACTTATAATTACCGTCTTGTAAACTTATACCCGTCCCCAGCTGTGTATGATTGATTATGCAATTGCAACTGCCCGTCCTTAACTTTCACCTGTGTGCTGAGCTCCCGACACTTCTGGTGACACCTTGTTGTTGATCTTCCCGTCAGCACGTCCTGAGGTCTCATAGTCTCGGCAAACAAACCAGTAAACAATCATTTTGGCACAACCTTCCGTGGGTCAAAACCACCCGGTTTGAGTTCCAGCCTCAAGCAAACAACAATGACGTCCAAGTGGACACACCGAAGTGCCAAATGCAATTGGGCCATTCTGCATTGCAACATAATATCGTGACATCACAATCAGCAAACACCAAACCATGGTTCAGGCAAGTATGGATGTGCAAACCCCTGTTCCACTATAGTCATTAGTCATTTGTAATTAGGTCCTATGTGGGCGCTGGTTGTGCCAAGTGTTCTTCCATTCACATGAGTTTTGCACCTCCCTGCGTCTGTCATCAGGCCCAATCTGTGCCAGGCGTCGGCCAGTCACAAGCTGTCGCTGAGCCAGCACCTTGGGTGTGGCATTTCCTTCGCCCGTGGTTCTCAAACCACAACAGCACTTGATACATGCCTAAAAGGCTACAAAAGCTATGAAAACCCTCCTTCATTCAGAACTGCCATTTTGTTTAGGCTTGAAAGGCCCCAGCAGCTCCCTGAACCGCCCCCCGCAGAAGTCGCCCAGGCACCACGAGCCCAGCCGCCGCGAGGACCGCGGGCGCGGCGGACAAGGACGAGGACGTGGGGAGCTCAGCCGAGGCGGAGCTGGTGGAGGTCGTGAGTCCTGAGTGGTGGAGGGGTGGATGACCAGCTCGGGTGGAAGAAGAGGAAAAATAGGGAAGAGGGAACAACGTTAGCATTGCAGGTATAATAACCTACAGTATATAACCAAAATATATAACCATACAACCCTCTTGCAAACATCTTACAACAACCATCAACAACCCTATATATTGGCTAGCCCCAAATACGCTTAGGACGTGAAGGGTTTCTGGTGAAAAAAGGTGTGCTAAAAGCGGGGCAAGTGCTGGTGCTGGAGCTGGTGCTGGAATGAAGGTTTTGTTTTTGGTGAAAACAGTGGTGCTAAAAATGGAGAAGTGCTGGTGCTGGAATGAATCATTACTGCCAAAAGCCATGCAAGGTATCTCACTGACACTTTTCTCACCGCAAGGCATCAGGACTCAGCACGAATTTATGACACATCCATGGACTGACTCAGAGACTTCAGATTAAAAGACTCACAGTCACCTGAGAAGAAATGAGCACGCAGCAGCATCAGTGAGTATCAGTACGCAGTATGAGTACAGCATTGTGAGCCTGAGTGCTGGAGTGACAGTATGTGAGACGCGGCATGCATCTGGAAGATTTGGACAGGCTCCGGCGGCTTCGTTGTTCGCTAAATAGATCAGAGGGCAGTGATACCAAAATTTGAAGTTGCCAAAGTGCCAGATTGTCGCGGTACCCATTTTGGGAACACGTCGGGAACAGGTCGGGAACAGGCCGGGAACAGGTCGGTAACAGGTCGGGAGCGGTGGAGCACGTCTTTAAGCGTACCCTTAGGATATGTTCTATTATTTTCATCCCGACCTGTTCCCGACCTGTTCCCGGCCTGTTCCCGGCCTGTTCCCGACCTGTTCCCAACTGTGTTTTTAGACTCGACTAGCTATTGACTGCAGACTAGAGGGGGTAGACTGGAAGTCGGACTAGTCTTCTCGTCTCACTTCTCATCATTGGACTATAGTCTTCTCGTCTCACTTCTCATCATGGACCGCTGATACACAAGCAACTGCCAGCAAGTTGCACATCCTAGAGACATTTTTAGTAATGACTGACTCACATTGAACACTTTGGTTGCACCCAGCACTTGTCAATGATGTTCTATAGTCATCGTGGCATGGTATTGCAGTGGGCCGGGCAAGTTTGTTCACTTTCCAGGCCAGCAAAGCAGAAAATGCACTGATTTGACACCGGACTTTCCCCCTTGTTTCAAGCAACAATCGATACGGACAATATTCCGCACCGTGTTTTGCATCACTTTTGAATGGCTTTAGCCCCAGACTTTCCCCCTTGTTTCAAGCAACAATCGATACGGACAATCTTCCGCACCGTGTTTTGCACCACTTTTGAAGGGTTTTAGCACCAGATTTCATTTTCATATCTTAAGCGTAACGGGAGCTTTGCAACCTATATACATGTTTCCATCATAATCCTACTACCTGTCTTGGATCTATACGACATGAATCGTCATGAATCTATGACCCAACTTCTCTCCCACATTCACACCTGCCGTCCTGCTCGTGGGGCGGTGCTGGGCACCACGAAGGCTGGGAGGCACAACCTGAGGACGTTAATCCGGCGACGTCCAATCGAGTCGGGAGATGGAGCAGCTGATGAGACGGGGAAGATTTTGAGGTCTCAGAGACGCGTGAGACGGGTGAGTTGGCCAAAATCTCCCCCCAACATCAGAGAAAGAGGAGCCCCTAGTAGCGATGCCAGGAGCCCCTAGTAGCTTTTGATGTGTTCTTTCTCTTCTCAGTTGCCCTGTCAGTTGACTTGTTCAGTGATTTTTTGGGGGAGAAAGCTCCAAGGCTATGAGCGGCAAACTCTCTTGGGGAGGCACGCTGCAGCAGTAAGGAGGAGGATTGCCTTGGCTTCAGCTTTGCACGCAGGGTCACTTGTGGCCACCTACTAAAGAGTAACTCAACCTGCCAAACTCATCCAAACTGGCTCCTTTCTACCCCATCCCTGCAAGAACGAAGGTGACTATCAATATGTCCAGCGGCTTCTGTTGCTTCCAATGTGACAGGCCTATGTTTGTGGAGCTTTGGTATAACCGTGCTTAACCTAAATCCATCTAGGGAATCTCTGCTGGTAAGAACCGCCAAAAAATGACCCGACCTGAATGTCCCATGTTAAAGCATAGCTGAAAAGCTGGTCCAAGTCCTGTCAACCCTGGTGGGAAAACTTTCCACCCACTTACTACCCACAGTCCATTTGAGAAGGGTTCAGGATAGAAAGGTTCACAGAATGAGCCTTTTCAAGTGTGGTGCGCACCCCCCAAAACACCAGAGCATCCGGGCTACTCCACACGCGCGTGCCATGTCTTTGCCAACAAGCCAAGGACAAACGTTCTGAAAGGTGGGCTTTGGGCCGAGGGTCTGCAGAAAATCGTGAGGATCGATTAGAAAAAGAGCTTTGCTCTCCCTCAAGATAGGCCCACGGAGGGCCACTTTTCTCTACAAAGGCGTTGGCCACATAACTTGTTTGAGGAAGGTAGTGTCGTGATGATCGCACTTGGCTCGGACTTCAAACAGTGAAGTGGTGATGATTGGAACTTCTGTTGTCTAGTCGAGTGTTGAGCATGGTGCTCGACCAAGCTTTGGCACTTGCAGGTGTCCCAAAGAATATATAATATAGAGCTCCAATTCCCGAGTAAGTGCATATAAATCGCTATAGAAATCAATGCGGCCATGAACATGACACGAAGTTCCTGGCTCCATCTGGGTCCTGTGTCTTGGTACCCCAACCAGCCCGACCTGGAAGCATCTGTGAATGGGCGCCGCGGAGCTGTTGGCTCAAATAGTTCAGCCATCTGCTGATAGAAGACCCCTTACAATAACTTACAAGAACGAACCGATTCGACTGGCACTCCCACTATCTCCCATTCATTTGTCACCAGAGAGTGGAAAACGTGGAAGTGGAAACTGGTCATCTTCCCCAGTCGCCCAGTGCAGCGCCAGCACAGCAGTCGCCAGGCGCTGTGGAGAAACGCCCTTCGCTCATACTCCCCAGTCGGGAAATGGTCTTTCCAAAGGATGGTTGGAGGGAGGGTAGTGGAGGATCCATGTCAAATGATGAACATCTATAACTTGTGAATGCAAAAAGCTCTCCACTCAAAAGCTGCGAGCCTTTCAGTGACATACAGTGCTTCTGGAGGGGGTCTTATCACACCGGGTGGGCTGGATCACATTGGAAGGCATGCAGCAGCATTCCCACAATGTCATTTTCTGTCGAGATCTCTCACCAGCTGCTTTCACGGCCTCAAACCCATTACTAAAAAAAAGAAAACGTAATTATCATTGTTTCGCCTCTGGCATTGCTGCAAGAGTCCAGCTGTTCTCAGCTGCTCTCACTGGAAGAGCCTGTGGCGTCGGAATCCGAGTGCTCGGCGCAGCTCGTTCTCGGGGGGAACCCCCCCGAGCGACTGCATCGCTCTCCGCCCAGGACGCGTCGCAGAAAGAGATCGGCCAGCTGCTTGCCGAAGGGGAGCTTCCTGACGGGGGGTGAAAATGCCGGCGTCCGTCCCAGTGGATCCAGTGGCGTCCTATAGCTGGAGACCAGTGGTTTCAAAAAATGAAACCATTGACCTAAAAAACACTAATTCAACAAACACTGGTAACCGGTATTTTTGATTTTACAAGTATAAGTGGAACTCACTGAAAAACATCACTGTTACAGGGTGGGTGGGGGGCACTATATCCACATTCTCAATCCGCATCGAAGGTTAAACAATGTTAAACAACTACTGAGTCACCCCGCCCGTGACCGAAACATGTAACAAAGGTAGTTGGACAAATATGGAGTTGTTTAACCTGGCTCTTCAGTTTGTGAGCTGAATTCTGAAGGAATTGCCTTCTGTGGGGGCTTTAACAGCCTCATTCATTTAGGAAAAGCAGCATGAATTCAATGATTTCACCGACTCTTCATCAAAATCAGACCACGAAAAAGAAACACCAGCAAGCTCTTCCATCAATCTCAAGCATATCCAAGCGTCAATGTACCACGAATACCCAAGAAAGAAAAGAACAATGTCAAGAAAAACGACAAGTGGTACCAGCAACGCAAGGAAACAAAGGTCACATAATGATAGTCTTGTAGAAATTTGAACTCCACATAGCAGAAAAAGCTAGGGGCCACTGTCTTTGCCATCACGTTGAGCATGAAACATCGTTCATCAATGTAGCGTCTGCAAAATATTGTCAAGATGCCAAGCCTGGCGACTATTGATAAGCCTTGCATTAATGTCAAAATGCAGTAAAATCGGGGCACTTGCTCATCAGAAAGCAGGAACAAATACCGGCCAACATGCCAACAAGCCAATAGCAACAACGGTCCCATGGCAAGCGCTGGAATTGCCAACTGAACAACCCCAGCATGCTGAAGCTCCACACCTTGCAGACTTGCTGCTCGAAGTGCGTCTGAAGTCATTCCTGCCTTTAACAGAACTTGGATAACCTTGTCAACTTCATCAATCTGGTCACCAACTTCATGTCGAATGTTCATCTCATCTTGTATTTCGGAGCATGATGCATACTGAATCGATCCCAAATATTGGTCTTGCAGCTGGTCTGCTTCGTTCTTTGCTATTTGGCAATTCAACCTGTCAACTTCAGCAAGCAGGAAATAAACAACCATACAACTGCACAATACATTCTGATTTTCAAAAACGAGCTGGTTCTTTCGTTGAAAGGCTGAAGTCGTGGCTTTACCCAAAGATCCCATGACAGTCATAGAGACGATGACACTTGCTATGCCGACATGGTTTGCAATCAAGCACAGCATCATCTGGCCGCAGTTTTGACTGACGAGACTAGCCAAGAGCGCTAGCATCTTCATTATCAGTATCAGTTGCAAGGCCCTATCAAATTCACCAACTTTTGCAATAATGCCAGCAAACATACCAATGAGCAGCATCCGAAGCCAAGAAAACAGCACTTCACGCCAAATGGGAGGCGTAGCTGTCCGGATGATCTTGTTGCTTTGAAAGGCCAAGTAGGCCTCATATCCGCACCACAACCTCGTGTAAACACTTTTGTGCCGGTTGGGCACCACCAGCATAAATTTGGAACTTTGAAGTGCAAGTGCAAAAGGAGATGATGATGGGGATTGAAGCAAAGCACCAATATCCAGATTCTGTGGATTAGCGAGCATACAGCACCAAGCATGGCTAGCACGCCAAGGCCAGGATGTCAGAACCTTTTGAGTGAACTCAAACACACCTTCCTGCCACGCATGAGTAATAAACAAATCGCAGTCAAGTCCATCAGGATTCATCATCAACGCCCAGCTCATTTTCCCAGCAGCCGCTGTCACTGGCTTGATGTAATGTTCGTTCACTGCATAAATGCTTGGCCCATACGAAGCCTCAAAGTTCTCCTGAAAGGTCTGACCACCTTTGATAGCTTGACGGACATCGGATTGGAAACACTTGAGATCAGCAAAGGTGATGCACCACCTCGCTGGGTGCACCGTTTCATGCAGTTCAATGGCTGCCTCAGTTGCATTCCGCTGTGGCTCGCTTTCCAGTCGCTGCATCGACCGATGCATCGCAACAAACTACATCTGACAATCACCTCAACATAGATCGAACATGATAGAACTAACAGTTCTTCGGGGACAACGTTCTAGATACATATGCAGTGTTCTGCACACATGACTTCTTCAGAAAAAAAAACAACATGTAGTTAGATACCTCCACCATCATACCATATCACAACACTTGATCCGCCGCTGCAAAGACTGCAACCGTTGAGGTGATTCTCCACCCGGATGCCTTGAACGGCCGAAGCTCCGGACATCTGCAGAACCCAAGACTCGCTTTGAGGGAACGTCTACCGGGTCTACCTGCAGTTTTGGACAGTTCATACCATGGGTGTGTATTAAAATAGGGAGACCTCCAAAGACCACCTGGAAGAAGGAAAGCAAACCAAAAGCCATCGTCTCCCTATAAAAGTAAATATCCATATACTGTACTACCCACATATAGTATGTTCTTCCTTTATCATACGGGTTTCCTAATGTTTCCTATAGTTTTTTATTGAACCAGTTCATTGAGTAGGTCCGTCCTCCGGAAAAGAAACCGGAAGACCGGCGACCTGGGAGCCATCAGATCCTACCAGCCACCTTGCCATTTGAAGGACCCCGGCTCGCCGGAAATCCATAAGCGTCCTCTTGTTACTCCTAGCAAGAATGCTCCCAGTAGTAAGGCCAGGAGCCCCTAGTAGCTTCTTACGTTTACCGAACTTTTCGGCTCTTCATGTTTGGTGAACCATTGGTGTGGCATCGCGGCATCCCCGCAAGCTCGGTTTTGGAGGTTTCAGTGTTCCGGAGAACCGAGCCCCATCTAGGGGGCATCCTCAACTTTGAAAACATTAAAACATACACTATCGCAGTATATACATGGTGGCTTCAATTCAACACGGATTCGCAAAGTAAGAGTTAGAGAGCAAGCCAGCGCCACTTTTCAACGCCGTACTCGGGTTTTTGCGGCTGCGGCATCAGCCCAAGATGATCGAGCCTTGGCGAAAGCCGACTGCTACTCAGGAGCCTTTGAAGTCGGCTTGAATCTGCTCGTGATGTCGGCATGCTGCTGAAAGAAGGCTATGGAACGTCTATACATGCCCCGCATGAATCAAGCAAAGAAAACTCAGTAGCAGAACACCCGAGGGTGAGTATCGTCCCGCCAAGGCACTGTCCAGCAGTAGGAAACGCAGGGCATGGTATCCCAAGCTACTTGTAACAACTTTCTGGCTTTGAGGAATTCATCATGTGCCTTCTTTCGTTTTGCGGTTCTTGCCCCCCCTACAGCAACAGCACCAGAACGTACAGAAAAACTAGTTGAAGCCTGGATCAGTGGTGCTTTTGATTAGCTGGACTGTGATACTCATCGCCACATCCATCATCAGCACCAGCCCCACTATTTTAAATCAATATTATGACGTCGGGCTTAACATCTTTCGATTCGTTTGGGAAGAAATTTGCTTCCGCTTGGTCAACTCGTTTTTAGCTCTCTCTCTCTCTCTTTTCAGTGTTCCTCTTCAGCCGCTCAAACTGGGTTTCCTTGGCTGAATTGATTAGCAGTTGCCTTTACTTTTGCATGCTGTCAGCCGCTTCCTTGTCCCAATCGTGTTGTGTTGGAAACCGAAGTGATGAATCTATCAATCTATCTATTGATCTATCATGGTCTATCAATCATCTATCTATTTACCTATCTAATATTATAATCTAACTAATCTAATCTATATAATCTAATTCGATCTAATCTCCAATCCAATCCAACCCATCGATCTATCTATGTCGGGATGTATAATCATGGTCCGAGCTCCCCTGCGTGCTGATCGGCCCCCCATGCGGCCCAGCATGTTGAGCCTCACAGGATGCATGGCATGGCATGTGCCTTTCATGTCAACTATCATCTGAATCTTCAAGTCAATGTCTGCACAGTTGACAACCAGAGGACCACTGACTGGACGGACGCGGCCGAAGCCTCGGCTCCACCCAAACCCTACCAGACTTGCAAAATCATGCAAAATCTGCAGGGACATGCCCCCCCTTTGCCCACAAACTAACATGTGTTTCCAACTTTGGGTTCAGATCACTACAAGCCCTGTCACAAAATAAAAACACCATGTCAGTAGGCATCCCCAAGGAAAAAAGAAAAAGAATCATTTCCACTCGATCGCTGCAGCCAGGGTGCGTGGATGTACCACCAGGGAAGTGAGAGCACATGTAGTACAAAAGGGATACAAGCTGTATCACCTCAGAACAGGTAAGGCTGAGAACCCCAAGAGTCAAACCACCACACCACCAAGCGGAAGGTGGTCAGTGGAGTCGCTGAGATCCGTCTTCACATGTTCGACACACCGCAAAGGATGAGAAGGCCCCAAAAAACCACCCATTGCTGACGAAACACCGCAAAAATGGCGGTGAAGATGTAGCTCCTTCGGATAAACCTAGGATCAGGCATGGATCCAGAATGATCCAAAACATATCTCAACAAAACCTCGAAGCTGGAATTCTGGGCGTCGAGCAAACTTCAGTGCAAACTAGCACACGGTCTACCAGTCGTGCTCCAACTACACACCCCGTGCAAGTGGAATTTGGAGAGAGACAACTAGTCTCCGCACCTTGGCCAACCCCAATCCCTTGGTGCATAAGCTAGTTGGCTGGAGGCCATCGCTTCTAGGTTGGAGGCCATCGATTCTAGGATCTAGAAGTTGGAGGCCATCGCTATTAGGTTGGAGGCCATCGCTAATCCCCTGGTGCATAAGCTCCAAGGACTCAAAATACGACCAGATTAGGCCGAAAGACGTCGCCCAGAGCGTTCCAACAAGCCCGAGTAGATAGGCCAAGGTGAAGGGCAGCTTTCTTCGCCTGACACATACAAACCACACACCCTTCGGACACCCAGCGCAGCGTTGCCACATGACCAGCCTTTTAGCTACAGCTACAGTATGTGCCCCAAGCAAGTTCTGCGGGTGCTCCGTCCTGCTACTCTCTTGTAGCCTCCTGCTTAGATTGAATCCGCGTCTGTTGCCTATGACATATATCATATGTCTCATTGTTGCAAACAACACGGGGGTGTCGAGCATGTGCATTGGCCAAACAAACCCAAGAAAAAAAGCAAGCAGCAGGGTTGCAAACCCATGGTATTTTACAACTCTTGCTTACGAAAACGGCTCTTTCATTCAGCCAAGCTTCTGCGAAATCTGTTCCTTAGCAGCTGCTTCTTGACACATGGACCCGGTGACACCAAGCCGTGTGTCTTCAACACCCTGCCATGATCATATCATGTTGCATCCTGAAATTTGGCATTAATATCTCAACGTGATCGCAATGGACACTCCAATCTATCAGGCCCACCTGGCCTCCTCACTGTCAAACCACTTCGTTCCGGACGGTTTTTGCCACGTGCCGGGGCGTATTCCGTCGTCCGTTCAACCGGTCACTCCGCTTCGTCCGGTTCCTGGGGACTGCACCAGAAAGGCCTCAGAACTGCGCAGACCGCAGACCGCTTAGCGCCACACAAAGACGGGTATATGCCGGTTCCGGCGCTGCGTGTGAGGTCATTCATGACTCCATCTAAATGTGGTCCCCAAAGGGATAGTGGCACGGTTTCCAATACAATTTTTAGTGGAGATTTACTTTTCTATCCATTTGGGGGTCTATACAAATGTGGTGAACCATTGCCAGTTGCATGCAGTGACCCCTGATGCCCCTAATATTCTATTTTGATCCATTATGCTTGTGATAGCTCTTCTCTCTCGAAAGGGCACAACCCCAGTTGTATAAAACATTGCACCCATGTTCAAGGCTCTGGGAAACTCTTGGCCGACTGAAACAAACTAAGCACCTCCCTAGATATTGTTATATATATATAGTGTCGATGCGAGGTGCCTCATTTTCAGGGGGGCCAGTGCACTCATATACCAACTGTGTCCCATTTCACAACAAACCAACACCTTGACAACTGCCGTAAAACGTCATTATACTCATAGCTGACAGACTTGCGTGCTCCTCGAGTGCACCGTCTGTTCTGCCAGACCCTGCAGTCGAAGACTGCGTTAAAATCAACGGTGCCAAGTGGCTCGAACTCCACTCCTCAGGCCGCAGCAAGCTGAGCAGCAATAAACTCTGATTGGTCGAACATGCTGCTACTAAAGGAACACTTAAATGAACATATTCTTGGGGAATCATATCTGATCAAGCTGTTGAACAAATTGGGAGTGTTAGGTTTCTGACCTTAAAGCCACCTAAAGCGCAATGGAAGAGGAATACGATGTGACTACGTGGTGCCTTGAAAATATGAAATGGGCATCAAAGGGTCACCAAGCACCCCAACAAAGTATCTATGCTGTACACGCCATTACCAATTATACTTATACTGTCCCGGCACGCTTGTTGTCAAAGGTAGTGTTGAACTCATGAGGGAAGCCCCCAAACTACCCTTGCCAGGATTCATGCGGCAACATGCATGTCCTTTTCTCACTTGGGTGCAACTCATTCGAGCTTGGGGAGGGGCACCCCTGCGATCTTTTTCAAGAGACGTCAGTGGACCACTGCCAAGACTCCAAACTGATAAATTGCTGTGAATGTCGCTCAACAACCATCGACCTGGTGTTGCGGAACCAGCCTAATTGAATCATGTTCGAAGCATTAGCATCAAGCAAGAGTAAGGCTCCTCCTTTCCAGGCCCCTTTGCACAACCAGGGAGCAAATAGATGAACGCACTGAGCATCACCATCGATCCGCAGGTGAAAAGCAATGAGAAGGTGGCCCTGCATCATGGAAAACGGTCGTGAGTAGTGAGTAGTGAGTAGGTCTAATATGTCAGAGTGTTAACTGCTACATTTGGACTAGCACCAAAACAATCAGAACAAAACAATCAATAATTACATACAGAATCGAATCCACTAAAGTAACGGTTAAGTTCTCATGCTACAGCACCCAAACAGGCAAACGGTTTGCTGGGTTTGTTACTCCGTGGGAGGTTTCAAATGCATGTTTGCCTCAAAGACGTGAGGACACTCCCACCCTGCCACACCCACAGGAGGAATCTGCGGTCGCTGCAGTTTGAAAACACCTCTATGTATTTAGTTGTGTGTGAACCTTCACGGGAAGCATACGCACGCTTGAACATGCCGGGGTGCCAACAAAAACGAGGCATGTGGCCAGGTATCAAATGCTCTCTACGTCGTTGACACTATCCATCTTTTGGACAGGCCCGATCAAAACAGGAAAGCCGGTGCTTGTTGATTTAACACTCGTCCGCGGTAGTTCTGCTTCCGGATTGAGGAATCTGGCATCACCGGGCATCACCTTGTAAGAAACAAATAGTCATCTTGTCATCTTGTGTAGGCTATCTTATGCGCATCCGATATCTTGTGTATAGTGAAAACAACTCCCTCGAACTAACAAGTGAAAATGGCCCCTGGGACGTTTGGTTCGGTTCTTCATTGAAACCTTCACCGAAGGTCTGCCCTTGTTCGCCCCCCTCCGCTGACCCTGAAAAAAGGGCGACACCTGACCCCCGGTACCGCTTCTCAGGTCCAAACGGAGCAATCAGCAAGGTCGGTAGGAAGTTCAAAGAGAACAACACCTGGCTCGGGTCTGAGGTCTTTGGTGCTCATGCGATGCTCGGTCCAGGTGTCTCGTTGGTCCACCCCGGTGATGGACCGATGTCCGCGGCTGAGGCCCAGGCCAAGACCAAACCACCCGTGAAAAGGGCAATGAAGCGCCAAAGTCGACATGGATCCTGAGATTTGACCATCACTGAGAAGGTTTTGAGGTAGAATAGAAGAACCGGGCTACGAATGTTTGATCCTCTCTGACTTCTACTTGAACAAAAGTTGAACGATTGAAACATGTTTGAAGGATCCCGTGAGTTCTACGTCCCTTTCTGATTCTCCATTGATGTCTCTGTCTTTGAGGCGCTGTCCATCGCCAGGGAAGCGGCTCCGGACACGCGATCACCTTAGGAGCCAGCCGCCAGGGCCACCGGCCACCAGCACCACCATGAGTAAACGGTCACGGGTCACAATCGGTACGGGTCACACTCGGTAACAGTAGACACCTTCAGCACTATGAACTCTACAAACCCTATGAATTCCCAAGCATCCGTCGAAAGGGAACGGACCAAACTGAAAGCATACTTCAAATCTTGACAGCAGTGTATCAAACAAACACATGATAGGAGCTACCCGGTGGTCTTTCCGGGCATTGCCAGCTACCCCTGTAGCATGGAAATCCAGTTCCATGACCAGTCTCAAGTACACAGCCACGAGCCACCACCAGCTCCTAGCCGCGCCTGTACCAAGTTTGGCAATTAATCACTATGTTTCCTGGTGTCACGCAGCAACATCTGTTCGCGATGAATTAGCCAAACATATTCCACAAACCTCAACAAACGCATGAAGTAGGCGCGTTGGCAACACCAGTCTTTTTTTGAGTTGACCAACGTCAGCCACGTGTTGGTCTGTCTGGCCTTTCCCGGGCACTCCCGGAGCCTCGAACATCGTAGAAGCTTCAAACATCGTAGACTCTAGGAATTCGAGTAGTTCTCAAGACTCACCCTTTTAAGGCTAGGACTGGCCACTGAGAGCGCGGAAACTGCGCCTGAGAGCGTTTTCAGCTGGCGTCTCAGTCACCCAAGGCCGCCCAGAGGCCAATCACAGTCCATCAGTCCATCTGGGCGCGTCTCAAAGTGAGGGACCCCTACGCCACAGATTCTTAGACATAAGTGACATAAGCGGTTGCTGAATATGTCCATTTCCGGTGGGTCATTTCCGTGTCCAAGTATCTTCCCACCAGACTGCATGACTGCATCTGTCCAGCGGGGTTAGAAATCCGTCTATACTATAGACGGAGGCCCTGTGAGACCCGCCCTCATCCATCAACAAGGGGATGTTGACAGAGCACAGGTGGCATTTTCTAAGCGAAAAGCTTTTGGAGCGCCATGTTTGATGCGGTGATGTTTTCAAGTGAGCATGAAGCTGCCCGAGCGGTCCCAAGAGCGGTTCTCAGCTGGAGAACTGCAGAACAGAAACACTTCCAAGACAAAGTTTGTTCCAAAGCATTGGCATTGTAGTCCTTGGCCTTAAAGGCAAGACTAGGACTTGAGAGACCACGCGCAAAGAAATATGGCAGGGGCACAAACAACTAGAGCGTGAGGATCATGGAGGGTGACCATTACATTTGCACCCAAAAAGGGGCCTAAGAAAAGTGCCTTGAGCCAACATGATTGACCCCTTTGCTTGCCAACCATTGGACACTGCAAGAAAATCTTTCTCAACAGAATCCTTTGGACACTGCAGCTGGTCGTCAAATCCCCCAACCTATCCCAGCAATAAAAAAATACGCACCTTCTCGGGCATTCTGAAGCATCTGGTTGTCCCCCAGCCGCTCCTGCTTCTACACGGAACTCGCTCGCTCACTCTCGGCGCTCGAAGCTGCGAAGCTTCCGCCATTGCCATCACCCCAACAAGTGAGTCTATGACGGAAGGTCAAGTGCTACTGCACCCCCAACCCTAATGGATTTTGCTTGTTGATTACACATTTGGTGCACCCCACATTCGACTTGTCAGGTCCAATCCAAATGCACATTCTCATGTTTACCTCATGGCCGCCACAATCACGAAAATAAGATTGTGTTCCAAAGAAGCTGAAGTGACCTTTCCCAGAAAAGAACAAGTGAAGCCGTGTTCATTTTGTTGCTTGGGTTCTCCAGGAAATGCAAATTTTGCCTCCAGCTCTCTTTTTCGCTCACATGCATTCTTGTAAGGTCTCTTTGCCTCTGTTCCGGCTGGAAACAGTTCTTTACAGCTTCACAGGCTAATCCACACCGGATGTTGGGATTTCTGAAGCATGCAGGGGCAGGCAAGTCAAACGCAGTCCCCAGCAGCCGGCCCCTCTGCTGGCGTGTGTCTGTTGAGCTCGAAGCAGCAGCACGTGATAAAAGCCCACGCCACTAGTGCGGCTGCTGCAGTAGCCAAGATTGGCAGGAAATGGATCTGATAGTGCTTGCGGCAAATTCCTCCACATTCAGCCAAGCAGCTTTTGTCCAAGGGTTTGTGCGAATTGACCAATGCTGAGAGATGAAACACTATAGATTCACATAATATAAGACAATATCCGCCGACCCCTGCCGAAGCAGGGGAGCGCGTCAGAGGAGGTATGCTTGCGCTATGCTTGCGCTACAACCTCAAACCCTGCGCCAGGTCAGGATCGCAGCCAGAGCCCACGGGCTAGCAGCAGGAACCATGTCAGGATAGCACCCCGGAGCTTGACCGCACCCCAAACCCTGCGCCACCCCCAAAACCCTGCGCCAGGTCAGGATAGCAGCCAGAGCCCACGGGCTAGTAGCAGGGGCCATGTCAGGATAGCACCCCGGAGTTAGGGTCAGGATAGCACCCCG